TGCCACAGACAAAAACAAAACAATCAGGCGTCTGTGGCCTCCTGCTGCTCAAACTCCACCGCTGTGTTTTCATTCTGAATTAAACAGCACCGTTGTGCAGCACCGTTTGCCGTCGTTGTCGGCGTTGTGTTACCTCTCGGTCTTTGAGAACGGCCTGCGTTCTGTACAGCAGCAGCAGCAGCACGTCGGCGTCTCGCAGGCTGAAGTTTCCCTCCAGGATCTGCAGCACGTCGATGCGAGGACGAACCGGCAGCGAGGCGTCGCCGCAGAACGGACGCAGCCAGGCCAGGAGGTCGTCGGAGGTGACGGCGCTGTCGCTGAGGAGGAGGTGGAGGAGGACGGGCAGCGGACAGGTGAGGTGGAGGAGGACGGGCAGCGGACAGGTGAGGTGGAGGAGGACGGGCAGCGGACAGGTGAGGGGCAGGAGGAGACAGGTGAGGGGCAGAGGTTATTCTGAGGGAACCTTACCAACTAGTTTCACTTCTTTCTTTCAACAAATCACAGAAAACTTGCAGGAAAACACACAAACTCTAAAAAAAAATCAAGTAACTGAGTGAAACAACTTCTGCAAACTGCTGAAACTGGAGGAAAGGATTCATCAGCTCGGTGGCAAAAATGAATCATGTGGCATTTTAGAGCCGAAATTACAAGTTAAGGAAAAACTGTAGCGACTGATTAATGATGACGTTCAGTGAAGACACTCAGAGCTTCTCAGATAAACACATGACGGACATCAATTAGCGTCCTGATGGAGCAGGTTTTACTTTGTGTGTTTTGGCTGATGCTCAATAAAGAGCTAATCAGGGTGTAACAGGTGCCTCTGGCTGGTTCTTCTTCATTTATTTACCAGGAGTGTTAGTGGCATTTGGCAAGAAAATAAGAAGAAGAATCACCTTTAAAAGCGTGTGTGATTTAAACCGGTCAGCCACAACATTAAAACCACAGTATGTAGTGGTCGTTTTGTGTCTATTTCTGGTAAATTTGTGTTTATTGTTGTCATTTTGCGTCTATTTCTGGTTGATTTCTGTCACTTTGTAGACATGTTGCATCCTTTTATCGTCAATATGCATCTACTTGTGGTTGTTTTGAGTCTCTGTGATCATTTCACATCCCTTTGTGTTTGTATTTTTGTCTCTTTGTCGTCGTTTTTGCATCTCTTTGTGCTTTGACGGCTGCCATGGCAACCAGGTAACGTCCCACCTACCGACGGCTGCCACGGCAACCAGGTAATCAGTGGTTTTTGGGGTTTTAAAGCGGTGGCTGAGCTCGACACGCTGACCTGCATTATAAACACGAGAAACCGTCTGACGTCTGCTGCACGAGGACAAATTAATTAGTTTGTGTGTCTGCGTGGACGCAACCTACCCGGTCTGCACGTTGTTGTGCACGGCGGTCACCATGGCCTCCAGCACCCCGAGGGGTTGTGGGTAATTTGTCAGGGCGGCCGGGTCTCCGCTGAAAAACAAACCACATCTCCACAATCATCTTACATAATACGCTAATTAAGATAAGATTTTCAAATTAGCACAATGTCAAGGGACAGCGGCGGAGAGAGGAAATCAAAGGCTGCTGCTCAGGGACAGTGTTAGTTAAAAATGTGTCTGGCAGCGATTAAATGTTTGAAGCAGCTTTGTGAAAATTAAATTATTTCAAGTCCTGCAGACAACAGAAAAACATTTAAAAATCCGTCTCCAAGAGCTCGGGATGGAAACGCGCAGGAATATATAGCAGCTTAATGTTAATACAGGAGATGTTTGTGCTCCAAATGAGGTGTGAATAAGAGGCACATATTAGTGGAGGAGCTTAGAAAGGAAACAGATTAGCGTAAACTGAGCAACAACACAAAAGCAGCGTGAAAACGGTCGTATTTTCTGACTCAGAGAACCAGAAGATGCGACACTGAGTTACTGTGTCTTTAAGGGACAATGTTCAGATCAGAACAGCGACTAGATACGACTTCTGAAAATGAAGCTTTATTTAAACGACTCGACGCCTCAGATACAAAACAAGACGAGGACGAGCTGCTGGATGCTGCAGGTCAGGTCCAGTCTGGATGTCACGACGCCACTCTGTCCCCGATTATAGAGGCTGAAATCAGAGTAAAACTGATCCACAAACAGTTCAAACCACTGACCTAAAACCAGTACAAAACCAGCTCCAAGCACCAATAAAACCAGCCTAAAACACAAGTCTAAAACCAACATAAAACAAGTCTAGAACCAACCCAAAACTAGTCTAAAACCAGCCTTAAACCAGTCCAGAACCATACAGATACCAACCTAAAACAGACTAAAAAACAAGCCTGAAACGAGTCTAAAACCAGTATAAAACCAGTACAAAACTAGGTCAAAACAAGCCTAAAAACCAGTCCAAAATCAGCTTAAAACAAGTCTGCAGCCAGCGTAGAATCCATCTAAAAAAACTGTCCAAAACACCAGCCTAATACAGTGAAAAACTAGTCCAAAACCAGAACCCAAATGAGTCCAAAACTGGCCCAAAATACCAGAATAAAACCAGTCTGAAACCAGTCCAAAACGCCAGACTGAAACCAGCTTTAAACCAGCCTGAAAGTAGTTTCAAACCACCTCAGAACCAGCTTAAAGCCAGTCCACAAACCCATCCAAAACACCAGCCTAGAATGGTCTAAAACCAGTCCAAAACCAACCAAAACCAGCCTAAAGCACCAGATTAGAACAAAGTCTAAAACCAGTCTGAAACCAACCTAAAAACTGCCTAAAACACCACCCTAGAACCAGTTTAAAACCATCTAAAACCTGTCCAAAATCAGTGTACACCCAGTCCAAACCTAGTACAAAACACCAGTCTAAAACCATGCTGGAACCAGTCCACAACCAGCTTAGAACCAGTCTGAAACCTGTCCAAAATCAGCGTAGACCCAGTCTAAACCTAGTACAAAACACCAGCCTAAAACCCGTCTAAAACCACGCTAAAACTACCAGTCTAGAACCCATCTAGACCAGTCTAGAACCACCCATCTAGAACCAGTCTAGACTGCATCCAGAACAAGTCCAGAACCAGCCTATGGCTCCATCCTCCGCCCGACCGTCAATGTTTGTATTTTCATGTCGGCTGTTCTGTTGGAACAACAAACACTTATTCCTTCATGTTAAACACAACAGAGAGAATTTAATAAAATA